ACCAACATTGTTCCTCACACAGTCAACCGGTATGTCCTGTGGCAGTAGATCTCTGAAGCAGAGAAGTGAGGTGGTTTTCCGACCTTTGAAGACCTTTGACTTGAGGGCATTTGGGCCTCCAACCCGAATTCAACTCCCATATTTTAAGTAGAATTTTTCCTTTTTAAAGACTGAAAACTTTTTTTTTTTTTAAAAATTTCAGCTTTTCAAATTATTTGACTATGAGTAACTCATTTAATTTAGAATTGTCTGTGAGTTCTTGGCAACCTCAACACATGTTCAGAAGTCTTTGCAGAGTGAGAAAGCCCTAACTAACAAATTGTTTTCCAAATGTAATGGAAGTGTCCCGAGTCCCACATAGAATTAATGAGGCTTGCGTGATGATCTTTCCTAAGCGCTTGTCTTGGGGTTGATTAATTTCTGTTTTGCACTTATTAAGCTCTGCATTCTGCAACTCGAAGTTTTCTCTTTTTCTATTCAGCTTTCAAACTTTTGCACAGGCCTTGGGCACTCTGCCCATAATGCTTGATGAATAAAGCAGCCCCGCACATAAAACCCAGGGAGAAGAGCCATGCAGCCAAGCAAAGTGTCAGCGTGTGAGGGTTCCAGATGACTTTGATCCCTTACCACCCTCTCCAGAATTCTTCCAGAGCCAGGGAGAGACCCGCACGCTCAAAGGGTTCGACACATTTGCTGGGAATAGAGTGTGGACGTACTTGGCACATACTGAGAAACACACATGCTCCATACATTCAACATGAATGCTGAAAACTGGGTGTGGGCTCAGGCACCTGTTATCCCAACATTGGGGAGAATCAGAAGTTCAAGGTCATTCTCAATCACTTATCAAGTTTGAGGCCAGCCTGGGGTCACTTGGGACTTTGTCTAAAACAAACAAAGCCCAAACCCAAACAGAAGTCTGAGAAAGGAGAAAGGAAAGAAAGGCAGGAGACAGGACCTGAAGCTCCCACAACAGTAAACATCACACAGCTTTGTGCCTACTGTTGCCATTAACTTTCCCAGCATGTGGTGAGCAGGTTTATTCCCACTTCACAAATGGAGGAGCAGTGTCTGAGAGAACACCTGTAATCTGCTGAACACACAAAGCCCCGGAATGCTGGCGGGAGCCAGACTGAGGTCCACAGAGCTCCTGGTCTCCCTGGTTCACAGAGGGTGGGTGTGTGGTTCTCATTAGCACTCAGTAGGTAGCAAACTCTGGCTGTGGGTGTGCAGGAAGGTTGGGGGAAGCAAGGCAGAAGGTAGAATTCACCGTGCCCTTTGTGTGGAGTGATTCATCAGGCCACAGTGGCAGATGAACCTTCTGAAGCCCACGTTGTACCAACGCGAGGGGTTCTGAACTGTGGAAAGCCCCGATCACAGTCAGACTGGAACCCATCCAAGCCAGCCCTTGTCACTCCTCAGAGTCATTTCTAAGTGCAGTCTTTGGCCAACTCCCGCTAGACTAGGCAAAGAGTTTGAGAAAATGTAGGTTTCTGGGCCTCCCCTCTGAGATTTCCTGAAAGAGGGGCCATGAGGAAGGCCTAGGAATCTGCATCTGACTCGATGTCCCTCCCTTTCTGGGTGTCAATCTTGCTCATTAAAGTCCATAAGCTCAGAACAAGTTCCTACTGCTTCCTCATTTTCCTTAAACAGCTTTTAAACACCACAGCGAGAACTACTGGAAACACCTAGGCCTTGGTTTATCACCATTTACAGACAGAAAATTAGAAGAGAAAATGAGTGAGTTATTTAGCTAGCCAAACTTCTAAAATGAGAAACAATAATTAACCAGCAGACCCGCATCTGCTCTCCCATACACTGAGATGGGGTCTGACTTAAGTCACTCGGATTCACATCCACTGGGAGTTACACCCCAAGGGAGATGGAGCCCAGGGTCTTAAAGCAGTTACTATTGCCTGGAAGGTTGCAATTACCTCCTAGTAGCTAAGCCATCTCCATTAGGAAAGAAAATGTAAGAAGAAAGAAAGAAGGGGTGAAGAAGGTGGGGGGAGGGATAAAAAAAGGAAGGGAGAGTGGGGGGTGGAAGGAAAAGCAAAGGAAAGGAGGGGAGGAAGGAAGGAGAGTGGGCTGGAGGGAGAGGACAGTGGGAAAGGGGGAAGGGATAAAAGGAAGGGGAGAGAAAAGGGGGAGGGAGGGGAGGCGAGGACAAAGGAGGAGAAAGAGAAGCAGTAGCAAATGAGGAGATGGGAAGGAAGGAAGGAAAGAAGGAAGGAAGGAAGGAAGAGGCAAAATTACTCCCCTGCAGGTGTGAACCAGAGGTTCAGGGGAACGGAAACAGGAAAGCTGCAGTCTGAAAGGCAGCGAGACACTCTCACAGGGTATGCTATGGAGGACCCTGGTACGTGGCAGGGAAGGGCTAGGATCACCTCCCCTGACCTTTCCATCCTAGTCCACACCAGGCAGATCCTCACTGTGCCAGCTCCCACTTCAGCTGCCAGGAGCACCTTGCTTAGTGTACACTGCATGAGGGTTTGCAGGGTTTCTTAGGAGCTGGTTCACTGCTGCAGGGCTTGCCTGCCCTTGGCTGAACACAGAAGGTTCTGGGGTGTGAAAGTCACAGAGCAAAAGAAAACGTGGAATGACCCGGAGCCACCTGAGGGTCTCAGCCCCTGACATCAATGAAGACCCGGAGAGGAGCCAAGGAGAAGGCTGCCGCCGTCATCCACAACACAGGCAATGGGAAGAAAGCTGAAGCTCCAGACTTCCCAGACATGCGACTAAAAAGGTTGAGAACTGAAAAGGAAAACATGTCACCTTCCTGCCAAAATAAACTGTGATGAAAGTTGGGTCCCTCTGCCTTTCAGCCAAGCATTTCCTGTTCTGGCCTCCTCTGTCTGCCTCCAACCAGTTCAGATGAGGGAGGGCTATTTTTAAGGTGCAAGCCACCGAGACAAGGCATGAGAGAATGACTTATTTATAGTTACACCTTTCAACTGTTCTTTCCCCCTCTGGGGACAGAGGCCAGGCTTGGCGTTCCTTCCCTTTGGAGCTGAAATCACTGGGGTGAGAAGGGCTTCGGAAAGTCACGTGGCTGTCTATGGCCTCTAGCCAGGATCTCGGTCCTGAAGACTTTACATTGGGAAGGTGTCTACCTCATCTTAGACAAAACTCGGATCTGGTGCCCTTGAGATGCATTTTGTTAAAACATACATTTTGTATAATAGGTGATTAGGAAATGCATTCATTGGTAAGGAATCCAAAAATAAATCTTTGTTCCCCTGGCCCCTTTTTAAAAAGAGGAGTTCTAGTGGCTAGAGAGATGGCTCATTGGTTAAGTGCACTCATTCTTGCAGAAGACTGGAGGTTTGAATCCAAGCACTCACACGGTGGCTTACAACTATTATTAACTCCATTTCCAGGGGCTCAAACTCCTTCTGGCTTCCTTGGGTACCAGGCATGCATGTGGTGCGGACATAAGCAAGCAAACCACTTATATACATAAAATAAAAATAATCAATCTTTAAAAAACAGGTTTACTTAGAGAAAATATCAAATATTACCTTGCTTACATAGATTTGTAAATTCATCTACATTTTGTGTCAGCAGTGACAAGCTTCTTCTGGTATCTAACGTCACCCTTCCTCTTGGAATCTGGAGATATTTTCTTATTGTATGAAATTAGTCTACTTTTAATAGCAAACCTTGAAGGAACCACTGGAAGTTTCTGACAAAGGAAAGAGGAAATCCCTCCCTTTAATGGGTACAAAAACACCATTGTGGGTTTGGCTGTTGGCCTGCAAGCCCAGTGCCATTATTTTCTTCCCAGCACACACACCCATCTGACCTTGTATTTATTGCTTCCCTCAGCGCACTGTAAGCTTTGTGGAGGCTCTGTTTAGTCTTTAATTCACCACTTTATCACAAGTATCAAAAGTACAAAACATGTCCAATATCCATGATCTAATAATGCATTTCTATTCATCCCAAGTGGCCCTGGGTTGAGACTCCAACAGGTGGGGCTCCCTAGCCACGTGACTTGGGTAAGGTCTGAGGTCACTGGGGGAGTGGCCCCCAGAGGAGGCGTGATGGCAGCAGGAAAAGGCTTTGCCACATCTGAGCTAATGTCCAAGGCAGGTCCTAGAACCGGCAAAACTCTGAGATTAGTACATAAATGTTCCCTCTTTATGAAGTTAGCTGTCTCGAGTATTTGGTTATAGGGATGAAAATCTGAGTAGTACATCACATTTTCTTATAATTTTTAAAAATGACATCTCCTAAACATGCAAGCATTCACCTTCGACCTTGGACATCATTACCAGAATTATTTCAAGAAAACAAGGATGGATTTATTCTAAGTCCACTAACACCTCTGGATTTTGAATAAATCAATCTTTAAACCCAAAATCTAAAGAATGAGTTTGTAGACAGGGTGTCCTTTCAGCCTTTTTTACTTCTACTTTTGATTGATGGATTTTTTTTTTTTTTGGTCCAGACAGACTAATTCATGATTTAGCTCATAGCCCAGGAAAAAGGATCCATATGGTGTCAGTATGCTTGAGTAACAACTGGGGCCACACTACTCAAGGAAGAGGTAGAAAAGACTCCAAACCACTTAAACACAGAATCCAGATCTAACGGACCCATCACACAACTGAAGAGATACAATTGTGTGCTTAAGTCCAGTCCAGAATGAAATACCATTTACACAGGCTGGCTGTCAATAGTACTTGGCACATAGTAGTTCAACAAAGTATTGTTGCTGGATGTGATATCACATGCCTGCAAACCCAGCACGCAGGAGTCCAAGGCAAGAGGATCTCAAGTTCAAGGACAGCCTGGGATGAACATAGTGAGACTCTGTTTTGGGAAATTTTTTTTTTTGTCATCGACTCATCAATGGAAATTCGATGCAATAATGATATCTGGGGTAAGTCATTTAGTATGCTTGCTTTGGGGCAATTTCCAACTATTATTTGTGGATTGCTTCTATTATTCTAAATGGCATAAAAGAAAGAACAAGATTCTAGTTAATCACTTACCTTTTTGCCTAGATGGGGCCCATTAGTGCCTCCAGGGTTTCTCTGAACTGATGGTGGCACTTGATACACGTCTTGTTCTGGGGTACCATGGCCGGTAGGAACTTGGTAAATTCCCTGATTCTGGTAGGAGGGTGGCACCTGATAGACGGTATCACGAGATGCCGCCTGTGAACTCGGCACTTGATAGAGTTTCTGTTGGCCAAAGGCCATGGGTCCAGGAGTAGGCTGCTCATGACTGGAGGTCTCTTGCACTGGACCAATCAGAAGCTTCACCCGGTTGCCTGGGACGATGCCTTGGCGACCATGTAGGGAACACAGCCACCATCCCTCTAGTCCTCCTGTGTTCTGTTCTATCACCGTTAAGATGTCTCCCTTTCGGAAGGCCAGCTCCTCAGCGCACTCGGGGACATTGTCATATAAGGCTCTTGCCATCAGATTCTAGGAAGGAAAAACAAAAGAAGATGTGTTAGAACATTAGGGCTGTCTCCTTAGCACTTATACAGCCCACGTGTTTCGGGACAGACGCACTTCCTGGAAAAAGAGAAGAAATATGAACAATAGCCTGCAAGAAAGGAAGCAGATGGTTCAGACAAAAGACAGACACAGCTACACTGTGTCTGCCACCAGTGACAGCAGACAGACTCCTCAGAAAAGCTCAAAGCCCCAGAAGAGATCTTCCCTCCAGTGGTGGGTGCTTTGCCAAGGAGTTGGGCTAGCATCACTAAAAGAGTTAGGAAGGGGTCACCAGGCAAAGCATTCTTCTTAACTTTTTCAAAGCAAAATGAAAGAGAAGAACATTCCAAGCTGTTCGTGCACCGCAGTGGACTGTTCTAAATGTTTTCATATATTTCAGGCGAAAAATAAGTCAAGGAAAATCCTAAATGACACATACTACAAACAGAAATTTTATTCGGCATTGAAATGTAAATAGAGGTACGCATAATTGTGCCTTGGCAGGGCTTACCATATCTTTTATGATTAAGGAGGCCCTTGGATGCTGGAGGAATCTACAAGCAAAGCATAGGATGTACTCTGGTAATCAAGCAGGGACACAGTCTGTCTTTCCAGACCTGGTGGTAGAGAGGACCCAGGAATGCATTCATGCATTGGTCTGGTCTCTCTCCTACCTCTCTGAGAGCCCTTCTTTTCCTGCCACGTAGTCACCTACTTCTTAAATCTCGCCATTCACATCTGAAAGGCTGTGCCTTCTTTTCATGGGCTCAGAACACTCTCTGTCTTTGTATGAAGGCTTGTCTGGCACATCCAGTCCTCAGCAGACAGCTAAAGTAGGCATTGAGCAGAGAGCGAGCAGCCAGTCTGTGCTGACATTCCTGGAAGGTTTTCAAAGGCTCTGAAGATTCCCAGCACACTGGCAGCCAGTCCCACATGCCTGCCCCTTCCCAGAGTGCCGAGATGCGGGGAAACATAGGGAACCCATCGCGGGCATCGGAAAAAACTAAACGTGACCCCTCTCGTATGTCATTTAAGCGTTTGGATGCACTTAGTGTCACTGTGGTGGGGCTCATTCTGGTTGGCTGGGGCGTGCTTATGACTTAATTTCACACCATAATGTATTTGTGGACTTCGGGACTGCTTTTCTTTGGACTCTTGCCCCTGTTTTCCTCTCCAGAAATGTGGACTTCATCTCCCAGTCCCATGCTTTTCATTTCTTTCAGCTGGGCATGCATTAATCATCTTCTCCTGGACTCTGTCTGAAACCACAGGCCTCGCACTGTGTGTAGGTCTCTTGGGTGGAGCGGCTGTGTAGGGGAGGGGTCTGCCTCTGCTCGGGAGTGTGGGAGACACCCACTCCCACGGCTTTCCATCTCTGAAGTGATACAAAGTTTGTTTTACTTTCACTACATTTTTAATTATTTTTAAAGTTTTTCATACAAGGTACGTTGGTCATAACTTTGCCTTCCTCCAAGGTCTCTCAGATTCTTCCCATCTCTCTACCCAATTAACTTCAGATTCTTTCTCTCCCCCCACAAAAACCAAACCAAACAAAAACAGACGGACAAAACCCACTAAACCATAACACCAACTAAAAGCACAGACAAAAAAAATGGAGTATGTTTTCATTTTGTGTTGGTCAACTACTTCTGAATCTTCTTTTTCCATTAAACACAGCGTCTTGCTATACTGCCTCAGCCTCAGCCTCTCAAGTGCTGAGACTACAGGTACATATCAGTGCAGGTGGCTAACCAATCTTCTTTTAGTGTGAACACACACTTTAAGGAGGAGAGATGGAGCCACAAATATCATCACTACGGGATGTGAGTTCACTGACCTCCATAGAGAAGCAGTGGTAGCTCAGCTCAGAGCTTTTGTTTCAGGTGAGGGTTCTCCTTAGCAGCTGTATTGTACGAAGCACTGGGTTCCTTCTAACAATGAAAAGCTCATATACAAAATAATAAGATCTGGCCGTGACCTTGCCTAGTTTTTAGAGTCATTAAAGAATGTGCCAGGATGCTGAGACGTCTGTGTTTCTCTTCTCCCATCTTGTGAGTGTTCTGTCCCTGCAAAGAAGGGTCATAGGTTTACAGAGGACAAGATTCTAGTCCTTTGTCCCCTGTCACGGGAAAAGAACTACACCAGGATTATCGTTTTAGAGCTTCAAGGGAACTAGCGGCTCTGTTCTGTCCTGTTCTCCTGGGCCTGTTCAATCACTGGGAATGGTTGGGGAGGAAGCGCCTAGACGAAATCAGAAGCAATAGATCTGGGGCAGCCACGTGGGAGCTGGGAAGACTGATAGCTGGTGCAATCATACTGACTTCAAAGAAGGGAAAGAAAACAGTAGACAGGCAAAGGGCTGCAGCTCAGCCAACCGCAATCAGCTGGAGGTATTCACAGCTGGGCCACTTCCCGGTCCTGGAACACCACGAGGTGCTGAGTGGAGCGCTGGGCCACACTTGATTAGAGGCAGATACAAATCCCCTCGTGAGTCTGCTCCATATGCTTTGTCTTGTGCCCGTGACCTTCCCACTGCCTGGCAAGCAGCTTGCATACTTACGCCTGCACATGAGATATAGGGATGTTCCTAGGAGAATCCCAGAGCACGCTCAGCCATGCAAAAGCGGGCACTGCTGGTGAATTCTCCTGCTCCATTGCCCACAACATCTCTCCCGTCTTCTCACTGCATAACGGGATTCAGAGAGAACTTGTAGATCTCAGCCTTGGTTAAAACAAGACTGAGTTCTGCGACCTCTCTGCAGCCTAAAGATAGTTAATGCGTGTAGCTAGTCACTTTCCTAAAAGGGTCATTATAGTTACACACCCCTGTAGAGAGTTTGTGAGCCTGCTGCTCTGTTTTAAAGATGAGGACCCAGGTTTGGTTTCCCCAAGGGTCACCCTTGGGTAGCAGAGCTGGACATAGGACTGGGGTTTTCTAGGTTGATCCTCTTCTCTAGGAAGCTCTTTAGCTTTCCTCTCTGTGCCCTGCCTGGGTTCTGTTCCATTAGACAAGAAGGTTCTGAAGGTAACCCCCTTTTCACACCATTTTTTTATGGAATAAATAAAGTTTTGGGGGGTTGCAGTCCCAAATGTGTTACTAGGGCTTTCTGCTTGCATGCCCTATCTTTCTCACCCCTAGAGTGAGGCTGGGGACTCTTGCGAGTTTGCCACGAGAATGGAATAAATGGATTCAAATGAACATTTCAGCACTGCCGGAGACTCGCAGGTCATTGTGGATTTTGATTTCCTCTGCTGGGTGGTACTTGACTTCAGGCTTCCTGGTCACTTCCCTCTTCTCAATTTTCAATCAAGAAACCATCCTAGTGGTTCCGGGAGTGGTTAAGGCTGCTCTCCCGGAAGACCTGGGCTCAATTCCCAGCTCCCACATGACAGCTCACAACCCCTGTCACTCCAGTTCCAGAGCATCCAATGCCCTCTCCTGGCTTCCAAAGGCACAAGGCATGCAAGCCGTGCACAGAGAAGCCTGCAGACAAAATACCCATTACACAGAGAAAACAAAAGTCATTTAGAAAGTTTTGGGTAAGAGGCATGGCTTCTGTGTGTTTGCTTGGTGAGAGGCCAATGATAAAAGGTAGAACCTGGGGTCCTCACTCCAGAGGATACGAACTCATGAGAGGGCCAAGAAAGAGTTCATTCCTGCTTTAGAAGTGCGGGGGTGCTCTTCTTTATAGGAAAGGTGTGATTCTGGAGGCCCCAAAGTCAGAAGCTCTTCTCTGAGCATCTTAAGAAAACACCAGAGAGGACAGAAGTCCACTAGTTAAGATCTACTCTTTCTTACCCCCTAGCCCCTTTGGTATTTATCTCTTGGGGAGGGGGAGGGGGCTGAGGGCTGGTGTGTGTGGGGGGGATGTCAACACAGAGACAAATCAAGGGGAGATAAGAGCACTGGGTAATTCTATACCCAGCTGGATGGCAAGTTTCCAGAGATTGGCAGTTCCAAAGGCAGAGAGTACTGTTGGGGCATGGCGTGGAACTTGGAAGACAGAATATTCTTCAAGGAGTTAGAGTCCAGCTCTTCCACCTGAGAGCTAAGAAAAAAAAAGGAGGTTCAGGAAGTTAATGATTTGTAAGGTCACCTGGCTAGAAGACCTTAGGACTTGGGTACGAAGGCAGACCTCCTGTTTCCTGGCTTCTGGGAGGAGGGGAGATAGTCTAAGGTGACGCGTGTGTCCCCTCCTTTTGTCTAGCAGACTGTTGAGATAGCGGACCCGAAGCAATTGAAATTTCCCCAGGAATCCCATGCTGGGGGAAGGGAAAGGCAAGAGCCTGGTGCCAGTCAAGGGAACTTGTCTTCCGAGTAGGGATCTCCCACGGCTCTGCCACGCTGTCAGACCCTCTTGCGGAAGGAACTGGAGGCAGACAGGGATGGACTGTGATGGACAGGAGGGCACTTGGACCAGGACTATTAGTTATGCACACCTCTTGCCCTGGGCTGCAATTTAAATCCATACCAACGTCCTAGAAGACGGGCTGGGGGCTTGCTGGACCCTTTCATTTGTTCTTTTCTCCAATGCGGCCATGCTGAATTAATCTCCTTTCTCCCCTGTTCACTCTTCCGCCTGTCTCCTTTTCCATTTCCGGAACGTGGGCCCGGTGTCTGAAATAAAATCCACACCCATTCTCTATAAAATTGAAATGGGTTCTGAGCTCTGCGTTCCTGGTTCTCTGCTGGGAGAACGGAATTGGTTTTCTTGAGAGCTTAGCAATTATCTCGCTCTTTAATTGATAGAGGGAATACGGGGGGGGGGGGTGAAATCTAGCTTGTTAAGGCTGCCAGAGCACAGGCTTATCCCCTAAAATTCCAGTACAATTACTTTAATGGAGACTGGATATCAGTGTCTATAAATCCCATCTGAAGAGACCTTGCCTGTCAATCCACCTCATGTTCTCTAGAAGTTCACTTAGTTTGGCTTCTCTTCTTCCAAGACCGTGCTTCCTGATTCTTCCTCTTCTCTGGGCCACAC